GCTCCGGCGGCCAGGGAGCAGCAAATTTTAAAAGGGACTTGAGAAAAGTGAAGCTGCTGCCACTGCCAATGTTTTCTTTGCCCTTCCTTCTCCCATCTTCTGACAGGACCCAGAAGCTGGAAGGTTTGGTTCAGATTCAAAGCACTCGCTCTCTTTCACCTAGGAAGAGCTTAAGCAACGGCCAAGTTTTGTTTCGGTGGCAGGCCTCACCGGAGGTTTCGGGCCTGGATGGGAGGCCGTCCCTGCTGGTAAACATGACCGTTTCCCTAAAACGTTACTTTTGCCTAAGCAGTGTTAGAGTTGAAAACAAACAGGACTTGGTGCTACCTGTTCTGCATGCGCAAAGCAAAAGGAAGAGCTGAAAACAAGAATCAGATGCAAAGGAACGGAAATTTTAAAAAAGGAAAAAAAAAACAAGAAAAAAGAGGATCGTGCAGGAATTCCTTACCAGCAGCATCGCTGGCGCGGCCGATCGCGGGCCCACGCCTGGAGCGACAAACCCACCAAGAGCTCCTCGCTGCCTGGTCGGAGACCGCTGGCTGGTTGCTTCCAAGCACCCTGTTTTCCAGTGCGTTTCCGCAGGGAGCAGATTCACTGTTTCATAGTTTCTCGGAGCTGAAAAGTGGGGGGTAGGAAGAGAAGCTGCAAATACTTGCTATCATAGTGAAGGATTACGTACAATTAATAACATTAATGTCACTTTAGTTTGTGCATGCCTCATGTAGGTACAATAAAGATACCATAAATCAGAGTTTTGCAAAAAACTCACAGGAGCGGTACCAACAGATATCAGGAGATGAGCTGCCTATATTAAGGGCAGATCCTCAACTGGTGTTAAGTGCATACACAGCAATTTGTCCCCGACCCTTTGATATCCTTATCTTCAGAGAGACAAAGGCAACATAGTGCATTCACCCTCTTTGTAGAGCTATTGCCTGTGTTTAAGGATACGATGAAGAGGGGGTGTGCTGAGATGCAGTAGCTCAAGCTGTGCAGCCTTTCCTTTCTGTTTCAAGTGTGTGGCTCAGCTGCCTGGCAAGCCAAGAAAACAGCATTTCTGACCTCTGTAGCTCAAGCAGCTTTATGGGAGAGGGATGAATCCGCCTGAGCAGCCTCTGACACCCCGAAGGCTTGCAGGGCATCGTGGCAGTAGCGGGGAGAGCGTACCCGCGGGCAGGAAGCAAAACCGCCCTCGGGTCTGGCTCCGCACGACCCCCGTGCCGGTTGCCAGCCTGCAGGGTGCTGAGCACCCGGCCCAAACGCCAGCGGTGCCCGCAGCGCCGCGCAGCTCGGGTCCTGGGCAGAGGCGTCCGGCTTGGCGATTGCTGGAGTACCAGTGCCCTCTCCTGTTCGCCGGCGCGCTCGGGGAAAGCATCGCCATCCTACCGAGCTGCCAGGGGGCCTTTCTCTTCCTTTTCGCTCCCCAGGATCAGCAGTGTTTGCATGTGTTCAGAGGCCTGCGGAAAACTATTTGCAAACCCAGCTAGACATCTTGCTACTAATACAAAGCAGTACTGGCCTGGCTAAGGGAACAAGGACACGCTGCAGAACTTATTTGGACAGTGCATAACTTTCTCTTGCAGTCCAGAAAAATTATTACTTGCACTGGACCGTTTACAAAGGAATAACCCTCAAACTGTCTAATTCCATTAAGTACAGCAGGCCTGGAGCTTTCCAAAGCACGCCTTCAGTGACATTAAGTTTTACTTTCCATGGCTATAAATTGAACTTCAGCTGCTGACAAATCTATTCACAAAGCAGGAAACGAAAGCCAAAGGAAGGTTGATAGTGGGTCTGAAGCCAACGAAGCTCATGATCGCTTCATATTTGGGCTGTATTCTTCTGTTTTCACATCACTGCTCAATTACAGCAGTGCAGAGACGCATCCTCATTTTGCCACAGTGTCAAAAGCAGCGGTGATGCTACAAAACGCTTACTGCCGGTTCCTTTTCCTGGTATCCTGAGGAGCTCTCCAGGACAGGTTCAATGACCTTTCGCTCTGGTTTAGTATCATCACCCATCCTAAGGCGCCAGAGGGAACCAGAAGAACGAACAGCAAGGCTTTTTTCCCCTCTTGAAAGACGGGAACACTCCCTACGACAACGTTGCTCAGAGGCTTTAGGAGGGGCAAAAACGTTGGGTAGGCCGAGCGCAAGCACAGAACGGTTCTGGATATGTCATCAAACATAGCGAGCTTCCTCGTCTGCCTCTGAATCGTCACTTCCTGCAGTCATGTTATAACGTGAAGACTTCCATGGCCAGGTTATTACAATGAAGGTTTCTATCCTGTGTGTTTGGAGAGAAATGCTTAAAAACTCAGTGGCTCAAAACTCAGAAGACAAATAAAAAGAAAGCAAAAATTCCCAAAAGTTAACTAAACTGAGTAAATAGGATTTTCTAGCTACTGATCTGCTCTTGTCCCCTCAGTCATTACCACGTGCTCTCAGGTCCCCTTCCATGGCACCGTACGAGCAGGATCGCGGTCTTTGGCGGCTGCCCGGGGAGGAGGGAGAGCTGCTGCCCCCGGCGCCGGCCCACGCGGGGCTTTGTGTCAGTAGGAACATTTACAACCAATTGTAATTAACGTTTTCCAGGTTGTCTGAGCGGGGGAACGGCTTTTGCATTATCGCATGAAAAATCCCCGTCCCCCGAACGTCGCCAGGCCCCGGGAATAACAACCACGCTCAAATTTGGCCGCGCCTGGCCCCACGCGGCCGTGCAAAACGGCCGGGCGAGCCCACAGACGGGAATGAAAACAGATGCCTCAGCAGAAAACCCTGTTTCCTAATCCGAACTATACACCCTCCCAGGCGCAGGAAGGCACCGAGGCAGGCAGAAGCAGAAAGCACGGCCGGGGCGACGCGGGGCAGTCGCGCACGGTGCTAGTCGTCTTCGATTTTAAGGACGGAAAGGGGCAGGTAGGAGCTGTTACTTCCTCCCTGCAACGCACAGGAAAAGGACACCGTGTGGGAAAGGCAGCTCCGGCAAATATCTCCAAACCTGGAGACCTGGGGCGAGTTCGCAGCTGTGCCGCGCGTCCGCCGCCGGCGGGAGGGACGCTGGGGACAGAGGGGCCCAGCGGCGGGG